CAGACTCTGGCTGAGCAACAGATGAAAAGAGTACGCAGATACAGGTATTTTGCCTGTGAGTGCAGCTAGGGGACCACATGGCTTAGCACCACTGACCAGAAAGTGTGCCACGATAAGCTGGAGAACCTTGTATTTATTTTAGTACAGATTTAATGACAAAGGCCTGGAGCAAACATCCTTTGTGGGTAATTAACATTGTCAACCCCCTGAGTAGAGAGTAGTCCTGAGCAGGGATGACCAAAGGTTGCTTTCTGGAAAAATAGGTAAATAAACTTATCTAGGTAAATTCTTTTGCACTCCCTTGTTATCTGCCCTTTGCCATTTGCCTCAGAGTAAGAACGGCCTCCTTCAGCTCATTCTTCCCCACAGCTTTGCAAAACCTCCCAGCCTTCCAAGAAGGTTTGTGTCTTTCCTGTAATTTTCCCACAACCCTGACCAATATCCTACAACCATGTACATTATCATTATTCAGGTGATATATATCATAAAAGCCCTGACTTCACCATTATCCAATATATGTGTGTAGCAAAATTGTATTTGACCTCTACATTTACGTATTTTTTTTTTTTTTTTTTTTTTGAGACGGAGTTTCGCTCTTGTTACCCAGGCTGGAGTGCAATGGCACGATCTCGGCTCACCGTAACCTCCGCCTCCTGGGTTCAGGCAATTCTCCTGCCTCAGCCTCCTGAGTAGCTGGGATTACAGGCACGCGCCACCATGCCGCTAATTTTTTTTGTATTTTTAGTAGAGATGGGGTTTCACCATGTTGACCAGAATGGTCTCGATCTTTTGACCTCGTGATCCACCCGCCTTGGCCTCCCAAAGTGCTGGGATTACAGGCATGAGCCACTGCGCCCGGCCATTTACAAAATTTTTTGAAGAAAACCTAAAACTAACATTCTTAAGGGTAAGGAACTGGGTGCTTTTCCCCTAAGAATAGGAGCACATCAAGGATGTCCCCTGTCACCATTCCTATTCAACATTGTACCGAACATCCAGTTATTGCAATAAGACAAAAAAAAAAAAGAGGGAAATAAAAGGTATAAAGATTCAGAATGAAGACATAAAAATATCTTTGTTTACAGATGACATGATTCTCACAGTATAAAATCTCAAAGAATGCACAAAAACTCCTGAAACTTATATAGCAAGCCTGCAGAAGGCAAGGCTAATATACAAAAGACCTTGCTCTTCTAAATACCAGCAATGGCTAGGCACGGTGGTTTATACCTGTAATCCCAGCACTTTGGACGGCTGAGGTGGGTGGATCACCTGAGGTCAGGAATTCGAGACCATCCTGACCAACATAGTGAAACCCTGTCTCTAGCTAGGCGTGGAGGCAGGCACCTGTAATCCCAGCTACTCGGGAGGCTGAGGCAGGAGAATCACTTGAACCCAGGAGGCAGAGGTTGCAGTGAGCCAAGATCATGCCACTGCTCTCCAGTCTGAGTGACAGAGTGAGACTCCATCTCAAAAAAAAAAACTAGCAATGAACAGTAGAAACTTGAAATTGAAAACAAGACCATTTACATGAGCACCAAAAATTTTAAGTGCCTAGGCATTAGTTTAATAAAAGATATACAGAATTTATATAAGGAAAATATAAAACTTTGTAAAAGAAATCAAAGAAGACCTAAATAAATGGGGTAATATTCCATGTTTAAGGATAAGAAGACTCAATATTGTCAAGATGCCAATTCTTAACTTAATCTATAGATATAATGCAATCCCAATTAAAATCGGCAATTTATTTTGTGAATACCAACAAACTGATTCTAAAGCTAATTTGGAAGGACAAAAGACCTAGACCAACTAACAAAAAAACTGAAGAAGAACAAAATCAGGACCTACCACCACCAAACTTTAAGACTTTTTTTTTTTTTTTTTTTTTGAGACAAAGTCTCTTTCTGTCACCCAGGCTGGAGTCCAGTGGTGTGATCTCGACTCACTGCAACCTCTGTCTCCCAGGTTTAAGCAATTCTCCTGCCTCAGCCTCCTGAGTAGCAGGGATTACAGGCATGCACCACCACACTCAGCTAATTTTTGTATTTTTAGTAGAGATGGGGTTTCACCATTTTGGTCAGGTTAGTCTCGAACTCCTGATCCAGTGAGCTACCCACCTCGGCCTCCCAAAGTGCTGGGATTACAGGTGTGGGCTGCCACGCCCGGCCACTTTAAGACTTTATATAAAGTTACAGTAATTGAGATAGTGTGACACCTGGTGAAAGAATACACTAATTAACTGGCAGAACATAACAGAGAGCCCAGAAATAGACTTGCACTAATACAGTCAACTGATTTTTGTCAAAGGGGCATAGGTAATTAAATCGATAAAGGATATTTTCAACAATGGTGCTAGACCCATTATACATCTCCATTCAAAATAGGAATCTAAACACAGATCTTACACCTTTGACAAAAAACTCAAAATGCATCTTTAATCTAGATGCAAAATGCAAATGTACAAAACTTCTAGCAAGTAACATAGGAGAAAATCTAGATGACCTTGGATTTTTTGATGAGTTTTTATTATTTTTGTTTTTCTTTAATTTTTGTCTTCTTTTTCTGATACCTAGGTAGGATCCAAAATTGATGAGTTTTTAGATACAATGTTGTGAAAGAAAAAATTAATAAATTTGACTTCATTACAATTTAAAATTTTTGCTCTGCAAAAAAAAACCTTGTTAAAAAAATGAACAGACAAGCCACATACTAGGAGAAAATATTTGAAAAAAAAATTGGATATAGGACTTACATCCAAAATAGACAAAGAACTCTTAGAACTTAATGGTAAGAAAACAACCCAATTTAGAAAATCGACAAAAGATCTGCGGAGACCAGCTCAACTGTGGAGACCCCAACCCAGGCGGTGCTGAAGGAATTAAGAAACAGACACAAAGATAGAGTGCAAATGTGGGATCAGAGTGGGATGCCAGGGGGCTGATAGCATTTCCCAGCTGACAGCCCAGAGCAGACTCTGACCAATGTATTTATTCTTTGTGAACAAGTGATTATTTTTAATAAGCAGGTGCTAGTGTTTCTTCATAGAGTAAAGATAGACTAAACATGCAGATAGTGCCTGTTCACTGCTAAAATAGAAATAAGCTAGAAAGCACTCTTTGTAAGTCAGCACTGGGGACAAGGTCAAATATCCTGTGTTTGGGGAGCTGGTTTAACTAGGGCATGAGCGGTACATACTGCTTACTATTCTAGCAGTTTTCTGCCTGGGGATGGCTCGGTGTTCCTTGCCATCACCTCTCAGCAAACAACATATACTCCATCACACACGTCAAGACCTCCTCCCAACAACAAAAACTTCACCACAGATGATAGACAGATGACAAATAAGCATATGAAAAGATGCTCAACATATTTCATTATAGAATTACAAATTAAAATGGCAATGAAATATCCCTACACACAAAGCTGACATCAAATGCTAATGAGAAATGTGGGTATGTAGCAACGACAACGTTCATTCATTGATGATGGAAACGCAAAATGATCCAGCCACTTTGGAAGGCAGTTTTAAAGTTTATTACAAAGCTAAACAGTCTTACTGTTACAAGATCTTTGGGGTATCTCTTTTCTGGCTGGAAACCTGTGACCAGTGGTGCCTTTGCCCAAGTTTTCCTCAGGCCCACTGGGCTCACTCTGCCCACTCAGCCTGGCAGGCTGCACTATCAGCCTGGATCCCATGCCTCCAAGGGAGACTGTGAGTCAGGCATGAAGTAGCAAGGGATGTGTGAGCAAGTGTGGGGTCCAGCACTGCACAGTAAGACACGCCGGCCGCTGCTGTGGGGTGAGCAGCTCCAGATGCTGGCCTGGGTGCCGGCCCTCTCTGAGACTGTGGCTGAACCAGATGCACCGCAAGAAGCTTCCCCAGCTAGTACAAGGGAATGCGGTGGTGCACAGAAGCTTGGAGACCCAGGAATCACAAGGCCCCAAAGAGGAAGTCACAGTCCTGGCTTGGGGAGTACCCCAGTCTGGGATCCCCAAAGGACCACAGCTTTTCTCTCCTTCTCTTTGCCCATGTGGCAGGCAAGGGGCATGTTTCAGCCCTGTTTGTGTTACAGTTCTTTTTACCCTCACCATTTGGTGGGTCTCAAGTTCTTGTCTTGTGACTAGGAAGAATGAAGTATGCAGACAAGTGGAGGGTGAATGAGATGAAGAGGAGCTTTACCGAGCAATATGGAACAGCTCAGCGGAGAACTGCAGTGCACAGCTCCTTTCTGCAGCCAGGGTGTCCCCTTGAGTATTCAGCTCCTAGAAAGGAGAAGACCCTGGAGTGGGAAGCTCCTCTCTGCAGGCAGGTCATCCCGTTGCCTCTGCAGCTCTCGGCAGAGAGGAGGCCCGAGAGTGGGTAGCCGCTCCTAGGCAGCTCATCCCATCATCTCTTCACCATCTCTCCGTCTTGTTCCCAAGTCTGGCCAAGTCCAGGATTTTTATGGGCAGCAGAGGGGAGAAAGTACGTGCTGATTGGTCCATGGGCAGCCATAGGCCAGCACAGGGAAAAGCACCAAAAGTCCCCCTCTGGTTCATGGAACTGTCAGCCCAGCCACGCAGCTTCAGGCCTTCCCCAGCTTGAAGGTGGGGCTTCACCAGGGATCTGGCCCTTTCCACCCAGGAGCTTGTCTGCCTCCCACCACTATTTATGGCATCCAGGCTGTTCGTGCCAAGGGATGCCTGCAGGCCTGCCCTGAGCTGCCCTCAGTGCCTCCTCCTCAGCCTCCCTCCCATGCTCATCAGTGCTCAAAGTCCAGAGGGGGCCAAGGTGACAGGGCCTGGCATTTCAGCACTGCCCCAAGCATGCACACACCCAGCTGGTTTGCAACAGCACCTGAGCTCAGCCCCAACCTTACTCTGAGACCAGAGCGTGAACTGACAGCGGGGAGAAGCCAACCAGCAGAAAGCAAGCCCTTCCAGGCCTGCATTGGCAGGGGGTTCCTTCCCAGGCCCCTGAGAGTGCAGAGACGCCTGGATCTGCAGCCACAGTAGACTGACTTTCAGGCTGTTCTTGGTTTGAGGGAGTTCCACCAAGGATCCAGCCTGCCTGCCTGTCTGTCTGGCTTCTTCTTTCCTCCTTTCTCACTACCTGTCTCCCTCTGGCTCCCTGGCTCCCTCTAAGACTCCTCCCATCTCCTCCTGAATAAGGCAGTTATTTCAATTTTAGTAAGTGAAATATAAAACAGAGAAGCACCATTTCTGCCTCAAGACGCATGTAAAGAGGTGTAGATTCGGGTGAGTTCCTTTACAAACATTTAAAACTTATGTTTTCCTCTAATTTTAATAGCCTATATCAGGAGTTCTTAAGCTTTGCTGCACATCAGAACCACCTACAGGGCCAGTAAATATGCATATTCCTTAGCTACCTCTGGAAGCTCTGATTCCTTTGCAGTGGGGATTTCCCAAGAAACTGCATTCCCTTCAGAAAAGTGATCTGGGCTGGGCACAGTGGCTTATGCCTGTAATTCCAGCACTTTGGGAGGCCAAGGTGGGCAGATTACTTGAGTCCAGGAGCTCCAGACTAGTCTGGCAGATTTCTTGAGTCCAGGAGTTCCTCACCTAACATGGTGAGACCCCATCTCTACAAAAAATACCCAAGAAATTAGCTAGGTGTGGTAGCACATGTCTGTAGTACCAGCTACTCAGGAGGCTAAGATGAGAGGATCACTTGAGCTGAGGAGGTTGAGATGTTATCATGCCACTGCATTCCAGCATGGGTGACAGGGCGAGACCCTGTCTCAAAAAAACAAAGAAAAATTGATCTGGGGACCATACTTTGAGTAGACCTGACATATAAATAATATTTTTCTTATGCTAAAGGAAGTAGAGAGGTTTATTTGGCTACACATCTTTATGTAATGCCTTGCTATTATTACTGGTGGTTGTGTAATTTAGAGCTGTCTTTCTCAAACTAAATTATGTTACAGTACAGAAAGCTAAATTCACTCCCTTAGAATTGAGGTGGGCCACGGAGATGGGGAGGGGAGGAGACAACCAGCAAAAGGGAGCCAGGCCACCGCATGTGACTTGGAGAGGCTGAGACTTGCCATCATTTTTCTTTTTATCCGCAAAGGCTTCTAGGTGCAGAACATGACTACCTCTGAGATTTCTGAGTAGATGAGTTAATAACCAGCCGAAAAATGATTTTTATAGATGCCCAATATCCCTTTTATTTCTAATTTGCTGAGAATTTGTATGTTGAGCTTTGTCAAAAGCTTTTCTACATTTATCAGAAAAGATCAGATAGTTTTTGTTTGTATTCTACGAATATGATGACTTAAATTGATTGATATTTATGTATTAAAACAATCTCATATTTCTAGGATACACTCAATTTTGTTATGTTATACTATTCTTTTAAAATGTATTGCTGGATTTGATCTGCTAATATTTTGTTAAGAATTTTTCTGTTTTGGCCAGGTGTGGTGGCTCATGCCTGTAATCCCAGCACTTTGGGAGGCCGAGGTGGGTGGATGACAAGGTCAGGGGTTCGAGACCAGCCTGACCAACAGGGTGAAACCCTGTCTCTACTACAAATACAAAAAAATTAGCTGGGCATGGTGGTGCATGCCTGTAATCCCAGCTACTCAGGAGAATCACTTGAACCTGGGAGGCAGAGGTTGCAGTGAGCCAAGATTTTGAGATTCTATCTGAAAAAAAAAAAAATTTCTGTCTTTTTTTCAGGAGGAATATTATTCTGTAGTTTTCTATTATTGTAATTTGTTGGTCTAATTTTGGTATCAGGGTTATTCTGGCCTCATAAAAGGAGAAATTATTCCATCCTTTATTTCTGTTAGTTTCTGTAAAACTGGTGTTATTTCTTCCCTAAATGCTTAAAAATGTTGCTAGGAAAGTCCTCTAGTTCTCAAGTTTTCTTTGTGGTAAGGATTTATATAGTTAATTCTATTTTTAGAACAAACGTAGGGCTGTTCACATTTGCCATATCATCCTATATCAGTTTTGATATGTTGAATTTCAAAAGAAATTCATCCATTTAAGTTGTTGGATTTGTTAACATAAAATTGATTATAATATTTGTTATTCCTGTAAAGTCTATAAGATCTATAGCATATTCCCTCTCTTTGTTCTCAATCAATCTGGATAAGGTTTCATCAGTTTTTTGGTGTTTGTTTCTTTGGTTGGTTTTTTCTTTCTTTTTTTTCTTTTTCTTTTTCTTTTTCTTTCTTTTTTTTTTTTTTTTTTTTTTTTGAGACGGAGTCTCTTGTTGCCCAGGCTGGAGTGCAGTGGCACGATCTCAGCTCACTGCAACCTCCACCTCCCAGGTTCAAGCAATTCTCCTGCCTCAGCCTACTGAGTAGCTGGGATTACAGGCACCTGCCACCAAACCTGGCTAATTTTTGTATTTTTAGTAGAGACAGGGTTTAGTCATGTTGGCTGGGCTGGTCCTGAACTCCTGACCTCAGGTGACCACCTGCCTTGGCCTCCCAAAGTGCTGGAATTACAGGCATGAGCCACTGCACCTGGCCTGTTTTTTTTCTTTTTTGAGACAGGGTCCTGCTCTGACACCCAGACTAGAATGCAGTGATGCCATTATAGCTCACTACAGCCTGAAAGTCCTGGCCTCGAGGGATTCTCCTGCCTCAACCTTTCAAAGCACTGGAATTACAGGCACGAGCCACATCTGTAGGCTGATTGTATCAATGTATTAAAATGTTGTCAAACAACCAATTTTGATCTTGTTCATTTTCTTTTCAAATTTTCTATTTTATTTCTGCTTTTATTTTTATTAATGCCTTCTATTTACTGAGTTTAATTAGCTCTTCTATTTCTAGCTTCTTAAGTCACTGATTTAAGTCTTAGATTTTAGACATTTATTCTTTCATATACAAGCATTTAAAGCTATGAATTTCTCTCCAAGCATTGCTTTAGTTGCATTCCATGAATTTTGATATGTGATATTTTCATTATTATCAGTTCAAAATACTTTATACTTTGCCTTTTGAGTTCTTCTTTGACTCATAGATTCTTTAGAAGTATGTCAGTTGGGGTTTTTTAATAAAACACAATTACTTTATTTCTTACAATCAAACACTGCCAACTAGCATTACTTCCACTCACACATCATTAAAAACAAAGGACTTAGTATTTTCAAATGATGCATTATACAGTGAACAAGGTTAGAACTTAAAATGCACCCTGGTTATGCAAACTGGTAATTTGTTTAAAAAAGCATAACTAATAATTTGGTTCCTTTGTTCATAAAATGGAAATTTAAATATTTCTCCTGATAGTCCTGAGGTTATCATTATGGTAGTGCAAAGTGTGGCACATATAGTTTCATCTAGAAAGGTCTGTATTTTGCACACATTATTTAAACAAACAAAATGGTGCATTAACAAAATGCAGTCAATACACGACAGAAAGCATGTTTCAAATACAAGGCAGACCCTTGGGCCACTGTGTTTTTTAGGTTTTGCATTATCATTTATGTTATTATAGATTAATTACACATAACATACTTTTATGCATTTAACCCTAAAGATAAGAAAAATACTTGTTGCTTGAAAAAAATTATTCCAGGTAGCCATTTGGTTTGTATCAGGACAAACTGAACCTCCCTGAGTTTAGTGTCTGCCAAGTTGGAATCATTAGTTCAAGTCAGCGAATCAGATATTCGACACATTTCACAGTGACTGTTGCTCAAGTCCTGGTAATGCCTCTTCTCCCACAGTCTGCCAGATGATGAAGCATTTCTGGGATGCCCTTTCTACGTGATTTTCGCTTTTTTTTTTTTTTTTGCTGGATTAACTATTACTGTATTATTTCCTCTTCTCCTCTGTTTCGTGGCCTTCCATTTTAATTACTGATAAATCCTTTCAGAATTTCCTCAGGGAGCTCCATATGGGGAAGTTCTGGAGATGTAAAATCCATGGAAGAAAGACTGGGGATTGAAATGTCCTTGCCTTTCCCGGTATTTGCTGCAAACTTCTGCCAGGTTGAGGAGATTGTAGCAGTTTCTGAATGTGGCAGCAAGCTCCATAACTCCGACGTTTCAACAAACTCAGCATCTACATCCAGCTCCTTTTCTATTGGGCCTTTTAGAAGTCGGGCCTTTTCAGCCTCTAGTCACTTATTTTCATTCCTTCATCTTGCCTTCTCAGCCACAACGAAGTCCACATGCCTCTTCAAATCTGCAGTTCTGATTGCCTACTCCTCTATAATTGTTTTATCATCTTTCGGGGCTTTGCTTCCCATACATGGCTCTGCTGGCTCACTCTTTTGCTGAAGTAAATACAGTAGTGTCTCTGGATCCCTGTCAAAGATCTCCTGAATCCCAGGCAGGTGTTGCTCTGTGGAAGGACTGTACTTCTGAGAAAGGGGGCTCTGGCCCTCCGGATCCTCAGCAGAGGATTTGTGAGATGCCTGAAGATGGACATACATGCTCGTCTGTGTCCTGCTAGGCTTTCAGTCTTTGTTCACGCTGGGCCCTTTTCCATCTCTCTTGGATGAGGAGGAGCTGTTTCCTGTGGCTGTCCCTTTGCAATTCCAGTGAAAGATGAGCCTGCTCAGATTGTGTTAGCTTCATGGCCTCAGAAAGATACGCCGCAGCCTTTTCGTGACAAGAAATAGCCTCTTCATATTTGCCTGCAGCTAATAAACGATCTGCTCGTCTGCCCTGTTGATGAGCCAGGTTGAGGGGTCCTTCCATCACTTCCATAGACGCCAGGGTAAGCGGCGGCCTTAGAAAGGGAGCGGTGGGGCCAGCGAACACGGACGGCACTGCAGGGGAACGCAGCGCAGCCACGGAGACTCCGGCCCCTCTCTGCACCCCAAGATCCCGCGGTGGGCCCGAGGGAGGAGCAACCTCACCACTTCCTCCCGCGCCCCCCGCGAGCCCGCCCCCTGCGCCGCAGCCGTGGCCACGCACGGCGCCATGACGTCACAAGCGCCCAGAGGGTTTTTTTATTATTATTATTATTTCCAAATTGTTGAAGTTTTTCTTGATATCTTGTTATTGATTTCTAATTCCTTTTGAGTCTCTTATGTAATTTTTTTCCTCTGCTGAGATTTTCTATCTCTCCATTCATTATGAATATAGTTTCCTTTGTTTCCTTGAGAACAGATAGAATAGTTAACATTTCCATACATATTTACAAATTCCAACATGTGGCTCCTCTCACAGGCAGTTGCTTGTCTTTTCTCTTGAGTATGGGTCATGTTTTCCTATTTTCTTTACATGCTGAGTAATTTTGGATTGTGTCCAGAACATGGTTATGTTGTGAAGACTCTAGATTTTGTTTCATTTTTCTGAAAAGTGTTGATTGGTTATTCGGTGTTTGTCTTAACAGGCATTTGAGTTGTATAAACAAAAAACATAATCCTAAACCCCCCAACTAACTGAATGGACTCCCCTTCTCAGCCAAGGGCATTCTAAAGTAAAACGGAAACACTAGTTCAGGCCACAATGGGAATGGGTAGTCAGACATGCCTCATTATCCTCGCCTCTTTTTGTAATCTGGTACAGCTGACCAGCACTAACATTAAAGCAGCCCGTAAGCCTGATAAAATAGACTCTTTGTAGCAATAAGATACCAACATGACAGATAGCAATCCCTGAAAGAAGCATTTTACCCCAAAATAAATTTCCTTGATAGATTTTGAAATGGCCCTGCAATGCTATCTCTTATGGGGAAAATACATTCTGTAGAGGATCCCCTTTCTATTACAGGTCTTTTCTCTGATCCAGAAGAGAATTAACTAAGAGCCTGGCTTTTTTTTTTTTTGGAAACAGGGTTTTTCTCTGTCACCTAGGTTGGAGTGCAGTGGCGTGGTCACAGCTCTCTGCAGTCTTGCCCTCCTGGGCTCAAGCAATCTTTCCCCATCCACCACCACCTCCCAGTTTCCTGAGCAGCTAGACTATAGGCATGTGCCACCACACCTGGGTAATTTTTTAATTTTTTGTAGAGACAGCGGTGTCACTATAGTGCCCAGGTTGTCTCAAACTCCTGGGCTCAAACAATCATCTCCCTTTGGCTTTTCCAAAGTGCTGAGATTACAGGTGTTAGCCACTGTGCCCAGCCACCACACGACTTTAAACTCCACGTTTCTACCATTTCAGATGCTCTAAACGTCCCTGCCATCTGGTCCAGATGGAGTCCTCAGGCAACCCAGAGAGCACCACCTTTTTTGACTATGACCTTCAGAGCCAGCTGTGTGAGAATGAGACCTGGGTCTTTGCTACATTTGTCACCACCATCCTGTACTGCCTGGTGTTCCTCCTCAGCCTAGTGGGCAACAGCTTGGTGCTGTGTGTCCTGGTGAAGTATGAGAGCCTGGAGTCCCTCACCAACATCTTCATCCTCAACCTGTGTCTCTCAGACCTGGTGTTCGCCTGCTTGTTGCCTGTGTGGATCTCCCCGTACTACTGGGGCTGGGTGCTGGGAGATTTCCTCTGCAAGCTCCTCAATATGATCTTCTCCATCAGCCTCTACAGCAGCATCTTCTTCCTGACCATCATGACCATCCACCGTTACCTGTCTGTGGTGAGCCCCCTCTCCACCCTGCGTGCCCCCTCCCTCCGCTGCCGGGTGCTGGTGACCACAGCTGTGTGGGTAGCCAGTATCCTGTCCTCCATCCTCGACGCCATCTTCCACAAGGTGCTTCCTTGGGGCTGTGATTATGCCGAACTCAGGTGGTACCTCACCTCGGTCTACCAGCACAACCTCTTCTTCCTGCTGTCACTGGGGATTATCCTGTTCTGCTACGTGGAGATCCTCAGGACCCTATTCCGCTCGCGCTCTAAGCGGCGCCACCGCACGGTCAAGCTCATCTTCACCATCGTGGTGGCCTACTTCCTCAGCTGGGGTCCTTACAACCTCACCCTGTTTCTGCAGACACTGCTTAAGACCAATGTCATCCAGAGCTGTGAGGCCATCCAGCAGCTGGAATACGCCCTGCTCGTCTGCCGCAATCTCGCCTTCTCCCACTGCTGCTTCAACCCGGTGCTCTACGTCTTCGTGGGGGTCAAGTTCCGCACGCACCTGAAACACGTCCTCAGGCAGTTCTGGTTCTGCCGGCTGCAGGCGCCCAGCCAACCCCTGGTGCTCCAGTCCCCTGGCGGGTCCGCCAAGGAGGGCGCCTCCTTCTACTGAGGATCCTGTGGCGGCGCAGGCGCAGGTGGACGCGGGACTGGAATGGGGGTCACAGAGAAACGCGCCTGGAAGGAGCACTGCAGAGCACGCGACAGTGGGGACGCCGCCTGCCGCCACTGGCTTGCGGTGAAGGTGATTCATGACACCAGTGGGCCCCGCCAGCCTCTCGTCTGCGGGAAAGTGGCTTCCTACCTGGGAATTTTATACTGCCACCCGACAAACATTTCTTGAACTCTGAGTTCATCATGCATGCTTCTTCATCCGAACATGTGTTTCTAATCAGTGCTTGGTTCAGAAGCCTCTAAAACATGAAAGGATTCTAAAAAGGCGTTTCCTTGGAGACTTTACAGGGCCTAAAGCTCAATGTGTGATAACTGCAGGATGCTGACCAGGACAGTGTCTCCCTTTCCTGACTGTAGGGTTGTCCCAACTGGTTTATTCACTTTGGAGGCCCCGGCTCCATATTCCTCAGATACTGCTGGATGAGGCTGCCTGCAAGACAAGAGTCCCCATTCCCTGAGATAAGCACAGTCACGTTGAAATGTGGATTCTAAAATTCCACAACTAGACTGGAGAAATGTTCTGCGTCCTGGATCCAAGTCCTAGCCCATGAACTGGCCCTTAGAAATTTAGCTTATAAATATTTGATTGAAGGAATGAATGTAATAAGTGCTACCTTCTGCACTGTATTCAGAGAATACAAAGATGAATGAGATACAGTTGCTACCCTGCAGGGGCCAACAGCCCAGCCCCAAAGTCTCACCCAGCTTGGTGAACGCCCACCTTGGCAAAGGCATCTAGGGTGGACTCCTCCAACAGCTCACCCTTCCCGGGTGGGTAGTGAGCTGACTTCAGATTCGTCCCTTTGCACCTAAAGTGTCCTCCTCCTATTTGGTTGATAGTGCCAGCTTCCCCACACCCGCCCACACTCCAAACCTCAAGTCCTGTTGGAGGCCTGTATTTTCTTTCCCTAAATTTCCACAGCCAGGTCCAAATGACTGCGCCTGTCTAGTGGCTTTCCGAGTTGATTTATTCTTGCCATTGCACGCACACGGTTTCATCTCTGAAACAGGGCCTCACTTCCTTGGTGTCTCCCCACTGCTCCTCCCTTTCCCCACCAGGCCGTCCTCTGCCCTGACACCAGGTGCTTTGAAATCCTTAGTGGCTCCTCATTACTTACAAATAAAGTCCAAACACCTTAGCAAGGCTTTCAAGGCCTCCACAATCCGATGCTAGCCAACTTTTCCATTCTTATTCCACTCTAAGCTTCCTCCCCCCAGCAGCTTGGTATCCAACCCCAAAACACCACTGGCCTTATCCCAGACACTCATCTCTCCAATATCCTACCTCTAGGCATCTGTCGTGCTGTCGCCTGGGCCCGGAACATGTCCTAGCTGACAGGCCAGCTTCCCCAGGAAGCCCTCCCCAGTCTGCAAATTAGGAGAACACTCTCTGGGTTCTTGTGGAATTCCGCTTGTCCTCTCTAAAATGGTACCTGCCATTCTCCACCTTGCGTTGTAGTTACACACATGCAACGTCTTCCCTCCCTGCCCCGTCAGGCTGCAAGCTGCCTGAAGGCAGGAACCTGGTCTTGAACCAAGTGTTCTATCACCGTGTGCTCAGTGGGAGCAAAAAATCCACAGCTATTATTATCCTTCAGATTTATGCTTCTTGGGTTAGCAATGCCCTGCGGCACACTTTCCCTTCTTTGTCCCAGGCTGCTTCTCTGTAAATATTAACCTTTCTTTCCTAGTCTACACTCTCAGAGAGTAGTAGAAAGAGAGTAGAGAGTGGCAGTAGAGAGATTGCTTATCTCTCTTTCTCTCTGTGGCAATGGCTATGCTTGATCTTGCCTTCTAGTTCATGGTACATATGCCTGCCTCTCACACTGGCCCGTTGCTTCACACAGGGGCATAAATAAAAGCCACTCTCAACTTTGCCATCCACAAAGACCTGGGCCCAATCTGTGAACCTGATTTGGCTCTCGAGTGGGGATTTGAAAAAGCTTCCCGTGTAATTCTGACATGCACCTCCATTAGGTACATTTGGCTGCAGCATTTTTTAAAAATGAGGAGTCTAGAGTCTTCTACAGTCCCTTGAGCAGGGATTTGCACACAGAAGACACTCAATACATTGTTATTGAATAAAGTAGATGCCAATATAGCCCTTAGTAGCCCTATGGCCAACCTGGAGATAACTTGTAAGGCACTACCCCTTCAGTTCCAGATGCAGCTTCAGTGACCTATTTGTCAGTGGTGGGGGAGGGGGCTGGTATTTCTGGAGGAGTTTGATCAGTCTAGGGAAGAGCCAGGGCCTAATTTTCATGAGGCCAGTGGCACCTGCTGGAGAAGGCTGGGTGACACACCAATGAAGGAAAGGGGCTTCCATGGGCCTGCCAGCCTAGAGGTGGGGCCACTACTTAATCACTGATGGAAGAAACAGCATGAGGAAGAGATAATGAGGTAGTTTGTGGAATCTGAGCTAAGCTGATGGGCTTCTCATTGGCCTAATCTTTCAAACACACTTCACACCGATTCTTAACATTTTGTTCAGCTTTTATTCACAGGGCAGGCTGAGCCAGGGAGCAGAAAGGCAAAGGACTCCTACTCACCCACTTGGCAAAACCAAAGCACCTTGGGCTTTGAACCCACCCTTCTTAGAAGGCAGCTTTGGGGGCTAATGCCCCTTGAGAGGCTCACTTCACCCTCTCCCCATGCCATCCCATTTCTACCCATCCCAAGATGCTTATCTGAGTATTTCTTTCAGTACGTCCAGCCATCTTCCTGGGAGCATTTTAAATCTGAGTCTTTACACTTCTGGTGATGTTTTGGCATCCCTAATAGGGCAGTCTTTAATCAGGAGTCTAGAATCCAAGAAGCCAAGGGCAGAGGCACAAAGAGCAGCATGAATGGGAAGATAGAAGGGCAACCCAGTCAGAAAGGGGCGGATGATACTGTTGAGAAGGAGCCGGCAGAGAGCCGCACACACTGTCTTTCCCTGACCACAACCTCCATTGGCCACCTCCTGTGCTTCCCCTCCCTCCACCCATGGAAACTACTGCTCAATCTCAGCTGGCCTCTTGCAGGCCTATCTCTCCCTCCAAACAAAGGTGTCCTGGACACAGGGCTGCAGACCTCTAACCACTCCTGGAACACACACACACACAAAAACCCACAATGGTTCTATGGCATTTATACCTCCACATTCCTTCAGACAGAATCCAGAAGAGAGGAACCTTGCTATCTCTGAAGGAGAGCATGTCTCCAAGCTCAGGGCAGCCTCAGACCTCCAATGGCCTCAAGTGGAGTGGAAATCCCTCAAGGGCACAAACCCAGTCCCTACCACTTCACTCGGTATCTGGCAATGTTTGTGGTTGGTTGAGTGAGTGAACAGGAGACCATCTTTTGGCTTTTTTCTACTTCCGTTTCCTGTTACCATACTTGCCTACATTGCATCTTCTGGTCAACACCAGGTACTCTCCCCATGAGCTTCCTGTGAACCTGTCTAGGGTCCACCAGCCCAAACATCATTTGTTTCATTTGGAATTAAGCTTTGTTAAACTTTTCACAGCTTTCATTTCATTCTTGAACTTTTACAGTGCAACCGCCTGTGACGGGACAAAGAAGTCCACAAACATGGAAACCTGGTCTAAAGATGTCCAGAGTTAACTGTCTGTGGAGTCAAATTGCATTTGAGCCCTAGACCTAAACTCCAAATCCAAGCTCTTTCCCACTGTGACCTTGGGCCTCTCAAGGCTCGTTTTCCTCATCTATAAAGTGTAGAGAAGCCAGTAACAGACTCACCCACACTATGAGGGTGTGCATGAGGTCATGTATGTAAAAGTGCTTACTCTGTAGATCATTGTCCCAGATAAGTATGAATTAATATGCATCATTTCATTAAAAAAGAAAGTTTCATTGTATTATATGCACAAATAAAAGATTAACACGTATTGTCTTACCTTTGGCTGTCTTAGTCAGTTCAGGCTGCTGTAACAAATACCATAAACTAGGTGGCAAACTCTCAGCCCATAGCACTGGTTATGTTCCCTCATTTCTACCAAGAGCATATAGGTTCATAAAAGTCTTCTATTGGCTGGGTGCAGTGACTCATGCCTGTAATCCCAGTACTTTGGGAGGCGAAGTTGGGTGGATCATGAGGTCAGGAGTTCAAGACCAGCCTGGCCAAAATGATGAAACCCCATCTCTACTAAAAATACAAAAAAAATTAGCTGGGCATGGTGGCATGCACCTGTAATTCCAACTACTTGGGAGGCTGAGTTGGAGAATAGCTTGAACCAGAGAGGCAGAGGTTGCAGTGAGCCAAGATTGCACCACTGCACTCCAGCCTGGGTGACAGAGCAAGACTCTGTCTCAAATATATATATAAATATTATATATATATATATATATATATATATATATATATATATTCTATTTATGGAGGATCTGGGTTAGGGATTAGGGATTGGAGAACAAAGTGTGGAACAAGGCCTATGTGAGTCAGGGTAGTGGGAAACTGGGTCAATTTAGACCTTAGGTGAAATTGTCCAGGACACCAAGTTTGTCTTGAATGTTCTGTGGCTCAGTCTCCTGTCCCCATATCTCCCCTGGCTTAATACCCAGGTCTTGTGTCTCCAAGTCCAGGGCTTTTTTTTTTTTTCTGTATTATAAAATATCTGGGCCTGAATAAGGACCTTTCAGAAATACAGTCCTACAGTCAGAAGAAATGATACTATTATTGGCTGGGAATTTCAGGCATGCTGAAAAGTTGGTGTGAGATACTTGGGGTTTCAGGGAAGTTTGGGAAGGATAAGAGGCATTATCCTAACTCTTCACAACTTATTCTGAGCACAGAGCTTTGCTCTCCACCTTGGGCCCAGCCCAGATCGTAGATGTGGGGTTGCTGCAACCCCTCCCACACCTCCCCTGGCCCCTCCACAAAAGGAAATGAGACCAGAGGGACCAAAGAGAAACAAAGGAAGCTTGGCTCTTTCACTTTGACCATGTCAGAGAATCAGCGTTGAGCATCATTTATGGTTAGAAAGAAGAAATGTACAACACTTGGATGGTTGCAGGGATGAGAAGGGAGGGAGAGATATGAGAGAGTGGCATGCAAACCTCCAGGCAGTTCCTGGCTGATTTTGCAGAGTACTCTCCCAGTGCAAGGGCAGAGTAAAGCCCATGTTGTGGAGAGTGAGACCACAGAGATGAATTGGCCTCACTCTCGAGTTGGCCACCCTCTAGTCATTCCCAGTTGAAGAAAAGTTTCCACAGGATTACTCCAGGCCCAAGAAAATTACTGTCCTTTTTCCCAGCCCACCTTGCTGACCTCTCTTGACTGAAAGAAAATGACCTGGCTTGATGGTCCACACAACTGGGGATGCACACTTTAAACGTATTATAAAAGCTCTTCCAAGGCACTTTGCAATGAACTGTGGGAGTGTGGGGTAGGAGGCACCCACCTTTACCTGCTGCCACCCTCAACTTTGGTTACAATTGGTTTCCCAATAGTAAGGATAAATAGGGGGCAGTGGGGTGGGGGGAGTGGAAAGAACCACTGAGCCCTACTAATTTATCAAAGAATCTTCTGTTTACTTCAAAATTAGAGAAAAAAAATTAGACCCACTTTTCTGGCTGGGTCTTTAGCGAGTCACTTCCCCTCCTTTGAAGCTTATTTCTTCATCTTAACTAGAGAGGTTTGCACTCAGAGCCCTTCTTATGCTTAAAAACAAAGTCTATGGGTCTAAAAAATTTCATGACTTACATTTTGATGAAATCCTTCAGGGGATACAAATCTATAGCTTAGGGCAGGTTACAGTTTGAATTGTGTCATCCTCTGCCCCCAGATTCATATGTTCAGCTCCTAGCCCACAGTCTCTCTGAATATGACCTTATTTGGAAATAGGATTATTGCAGATCATATAAAATGAGATTATGCTGAGGTAAGGTGACTTTATAATCCAATATGGCTGGTGTCCTTGCAAAAAGGGTAAATTTGGACACAGGCACAGACACAGGGAGAATGTCATGTGAAGACTAGAGTTATGCTGCCACAAGTCACGAAACACCAAAGATTGCCAGCAAACAACCAGAAGCAAGGAGAAAGGGATGGAGCAGATTCTCCTTTATAGCCCCAGGAGGAAGCAATCATGCTGACATGGAGATCTCAGACTTCTCAGTCTCCGGAACTGTGAGACAGTATATTTCTCTCGTTTGAGCCACCCATGGACCTTGGTTAATGGCGGCCGGAGCAAACTAATACAGGACAGAAACACAGGGTGGGAGGGGAATCCCAGTGCGCCTCCAAACCTTCCGTGATGTTCCAGTGTCTCCTGCATCTACAAAAAAGGCTACACCTAACTGAAGACACGCACAGAAGATTGGAAGCTAGTGTTTACTTGTACCTACTATGTTCCAGGTCCACACATTTTCGTATCTCACAGCTACCTTACGGGATTTCCGTTTTCTCCAGTTTGACTAAGGAGGATACCAGGGATCAGAATAGGTCCCACTCTAACATCCAGGGCTAAATGTCAGATCACACGGAAAGCTTAAAAAATGTCTGAGTTTCTCCCCCAAAGTTTCCGATGCAATTGTTCTAGGGTACAGCCTGGTCTCAGGATGTTTTTAAAGTCTCCCAGTGGCTCTTAAATACAGTCAAGTTTGACAATCACTGATCTAGTATCTTTATGCATTCAATCATTCACTCAGTGAATATTTATGAGAACCTACTATGTGCTAGAAACTGTGCTATATGCCTTGCACACATTATGCCACATTCTCACAATTTTACAAAGTAGGCATCGTCTCTACCCAGGTGAGAAAAGTGGGGCTTGGAGAGATAAATGACTTTCTTAAGTTAAAGCCAAACTAGGGATTTTCAACTCAGGTCTGTATTGTACCCAAACACCTACTCTTTCCATCACATCTTGCCAATTTCCCTAAGGATATTTTCATCAGGACTCTTAACCATAAGCAACAGAAATTGCCTCTAGTTGCCATGGCAGAAGAAAATGTATGGAAAAGATATTGGACACGACTTCGTTGTAATTGCATCAGCGATGCATCAGGGCACAGTGTCATGATGTCTGCAACTATATCACAAATGATTCAGAAAAAACTAAAAAAAGAAAAATGTGCATAATTATACGTTAAAACTGGGGAGAAATGACATATAGAAGAGGTTATATGCAAAGAAAGAGAAAAGCTATTGTTGGTTAGCTTACAAAACTGGTGGGAAGGCAGGAGAAACAGGTAGGACAAAGGGAGGTGGTCTCTGGCACAGCAACCTCGGAAGCCAGAGGATACAGTGATTCTAGAAAGACTTCTGCTGCCCCCATTACAAAAAACAGGTACACAAGGTTCACAGAGTGAGTCAAGGCCACATGCCCATGCTCTGGCCTTAAGGGAGCTGGGAAAGAGTGCCCAGCCTTCCTTAGCTTCTGTAGAAGCGGGCTCTTCCTCCCACCAAAATTCATGTGGTGAGGAATCCCCACAAGCAGGGAGAGATCAGCCACAGGATCAGCTAATGGCCACCACAAGTGTGAAAGAGGTTACTGAGGTTTTCTACTGCTCAGCGTTGCAGAGTCTAAGCCACTATGATGGATGAAGATGACTTACAGTTAATGAAGGACTTAGGACAAAGAGCATCTTTTCTAACAAGAGATCTTTCTTCTAGTGAGCCTGTTCATGTGAAGAAATGGAAGCATGAATGCATTATAGATAAATATGAAAAAATACCAAGAACTTTGCAAACTGTACCAGAGAAGCAACTGATTCATTTGCTTCCTATCAAAGGTAAAAGTGGTATAATCCCACAGACTAGAGAGAAGCCAGGTGAATCTAGCTGAACTTTTAGCCCCTCGCTGATATCATGTATTTTTTTTTTCACTCAAAATTTAATTTGACTTTGATTTTACCTGTATCTACAAAATATTCAATTAGTCTTATAGCAAGCAAAAAAAAAAAAAAAAAAAAAAAGATAAGAGGTCAAAGGTGTGACACCATTGGGCACACCCAAAAACATTTTAGGATAAGCCTTTGACAAGCGATATGATCAAACCCACCCCAAATTGCTCCCATCAGCAGTGTATCAACAGAACTACTCAAGGGACAGTGGTGCACTTGGAAAGTGGTGGGCTCAATTTACTGCAATAGTACTATTGAGAATTTCCTTCCTACCAGCCATTTACTTAAAGGTTATCTCTCGGTAGCAAAGCTGAGTTTTTCCAAAGAGGCTTTTTCAATTTCTTCTCATATCTTAGATGGAGTTGACTTCCTTTATTCTGAGTGTCAAGAGCCAGTTTGAAAATAAGAGAACTTGAGCCGGGCACAGTGGCTCATGCCTGTAATCCCAGCACTTTGGTAGGCTGAGGCGGGCAAATCACGAGGTCAAGAGTTCGAGACCAACCTGTCCAAAATGGTGAAGCCCCATCTCTATTAAGAATACAAAAATTAACCAGGTGTGGTGGCTCATGCCTGTAACCCCAGCTACTCAGGAGGCTGAGGTGGGAGAATCTCTTGAACCCAGGAGGTGGAGGTTGCAGTGAGCCTAGATCATGCCACTATACTCCAGCCTGGGCGACAGAGCAAGACTCCATCCTGGGAAAAAAAAAAAAAAAGAAAGAAAAGAAAAGAAGAGAACTTTATTTTTCCACTCAGAAAAAAGAGAGAGACTTTGTTACACAGTCTTGGGCAAGGAAATACTTAAGTTTGTGTTGAGAATATGGAGGCTTCAGTAGCGGAAAGGTCACTGAATTTGGAATCTGAAGACTCTGCCACTAGCTGGCTGGGGGCATTTTGGGCAATAGTAATGATGATTAATGATGATGACAATCATTAAAAGGTCAGGAGACAACAGATGCTGGAGAGGATGTGGAGAAATAGGAATACTTTTACACTGTTGGTAAGAGTGTAAATTAGTTCAACCATTGTGGAA